TCTGGTGTTGCTCATCCCAAGGACCTGGCTAGCCCAACAGGGAGTCCCCTAGGAGTCAATGACCACTCTGGTGGCTTTGTGACCAGGCCAGCAAGCTCACAGGATCAGGAGTGGAACGCTGAAAAGCTAAGGCATCGTCACCAGCTGTAGAGCCCTGTGCCTGGTGTGAATCCCATACTGATGTTTACAGGCTCTAGAGCTGTTCTGAGAGCATCTGCCCGTGCTGCTGACTAGTGTGGAGATGCTCAGTTAGCTTTGGACCTAGACCAGTACTAAGCTGGCTGGTTTAAAGCCAGCACGGCTACTGCTACTCGATCCTGCAAGGCAGACACACTGTGTGGGAAGCTGTCCTGAGCACAGCTCCAGTGGTTTAAATCTGGACAAGCCTCCTCCAAAGAGAAGACCTCAGACCTCACACATATTTATAGAATTACAGAATGGTTGAGGTTGGAAGGGACCTCTGGATGTCATCTGGTCCAACTCCTTGCTCAAGCAGGGCCACCTAGAGCCAGTTGCCCAGGACCATGTCCAGATGGCTTCTGAGTATCTCCAAAGACGGAGACTCCACAGCCTCCCCGGGCAACCTGTGCTAGTGCTTGTTCACAGTAAAAAAGTTCTTCCTGATATTCAGAGGGAACCTCCCGTGTTTCAGTTTGTGCCCATCGCCTCTGGTCCTGTCACTGGGCACCACTGAAAAAAGCCTGGCTCCATCCTCTTTGGTTTATCTCCATCCTTGACCACTACCACTAGGCTTTAAGGCTTTGGGATTGGATGACCCCATAGCCACATTTCTGCTTGCAATTCCAAACTACTTCTGCACTCTCTTTCCTTGCTGCTCCCTGCTCCCCATCTCCGTCTTTAATCTAGCCAGGAGACAGAGGGATGTGCATGCCGGCCTCCTGCCCTTTCTCCACCTCTAGCTCCCAGGGGATGAATCACAGCAGGTGATGGGAAACACCAGCATGCAGGAATCAGAAGCTGCAGGGCCAAATAGCACATCTTTCACCAGCGTATTTAACGAGGCACCGGCTCTGCCTGCCCTGCAGAGGGAAAAGCAGCACACCCAGTGCAAATCTTGGAAAAATCCATGGAGTGACCTTTTAGGGTGGGCTGTGCTGTAAAAACTGCTGATATCCATTTCCCCTCATTGCTCCTTTCACGTCCTAACTGTCCCCCACCAGCACTGTCACTGAGTTCCTCCTCTGCCAGTGCAGCTCCCCCGTCCCTCGCTAGGTCCTACGTTAATCCACGCCCCTCCTTCGCTGAAACAACAGATGTCCTAAAGGGCAGAGCGAGCTGTGGTATTTCGGAGGGAACCTCATGGGAAAGGGAGCCGCTGGAGTCAGGCTGTCTGCAGGAAGGGCTGACAGCTTCTGCTGCCCAAGGACATGAGACGGGGCAGTAAACTGCAGAAATTTCAGACGCAACAGAATGTAACACAAAGCAGTGACCGCGTCGAGTCTGGACATACAGTAACAGGATGCAACACGGGGCAGTGAGCTCATTAATTTAGGACGGGACAGGATGCGACATGGGGCAGTGATTTAATTAGTTTACAATGTGACAAGATGTGACACTACACAGGGCAGTGAAGGTATCATAGCTGATGGGACCAGAAGACCTCCCAGAGATCCCAGAGCAGGGGTCAAGGGGGATTTTTGGTCCTGTGAATGCTTTCAGTAGGGAAGGAACCTCCTTGCGAGGGTGTTTCAAACCCTCTGAGCCTGGGCTAGCACCATCCTGGTGCCAGAGGAATGTCGGGCAGGCCGGAGGGCAGCACCAGCTGCCTGCATAGCTTTGGGCAGGAACAGCAGGGGTAGCTGCCTGAGACCTGCCTGCTCTCATGGGGACAGTCAGTCCAGCAGGTTTCTCCAAATGGGCACCCAACTCTTCCAACAATGAACCACAGCCCATGACTTGACTTACAGCCCTGCTCTCAGCAGGCAGGATTGTTCCCTTCCCACCTCCCCACCCACCCAAGGCAGGTTTCCAGGTTCCTGCCTTGCTTCTCCAGCAAGATGGAAAGAGATGAATGCCACCCAGCAATTCCCTGGCACCTGCCAGCTGCCCACAGTAGCCATTAAAGCTTTGCCCGAAGCACCCAACCTCCCTGTGTTACACTGTGAGTCCTCCTGGACTGAGCACAGGAATGAGAGGTGGGAACGGTGACGCTGAAGGTGGCCAGCACAAGCAACCTGTTGGGAACGAGCCTTCCTCTACTTTGGCTTCTCCTCCTCTACCTTTCTGGCCATCTAGCCAGGCTGTCTCCCCTCCACTCATTAGAAAGGGGATGAGAGAAAAGAAAACTCATTTTCCAGAGCTTGTACACCCTCTTGAGCTGAGTGTTGGCTGGTACTGAGGCTGTGCTCAGGATGAAGCCTCCCTCACTGCTCCCCGCTCACCAGCAAGGGGCTGAGGACTGGGGATACAAACCAGCCACTCTGACCCTGCTCTGCAACCAGGCCCTCCCTTGATGAATTTCAGTGATGGACCAGAAGGCTGTTCATCCAAACTAGCTATTTTGCTATGACAGCAAGTGCCCCTCTTCCCAGGATCGTGTCCTCAAAGCTACTTTGAAGACCAAGAGGCAGCATCATCAGCAAGTTGGGCTGGCAAATAGTCTGCTACCACCACACCATCCCTGTGACGCTAGAGATGAAATTCAAGGCTGTTACTTTCTTCTGGAAAATTAGATTCAAGTCTATGCCTGATGAAGCCTCTCTATCCTCCAGTCTCTCCTTTTACAGCTTAAAAACACATCTCCTGGTTGCTCTCACCTGTGCTCCGGCAAGTCATACCAAGTCAGCTCTACCTGTGGTGTCACTTCTCAGGTGACTCCTAGAAGCAGCCGAGACCTCAGAGCAGCAGAGGACAGGCCAGCAGTGGCTGGCAAATGGGTTGTTGTGACTCCCATGGGACCTGTTCCCTCTGCGCCAGCACTGTTGTCCAAACCTAGCAATCCTGTCCTGGAAGCCACGTGATATCCTGACACTATGGCCCAAAGCAATGTCCTCTCATAGCAATGCAGGCCATCAGCTTCATGTTGCAGAATAACGCTGCATGGCCAGAAGGGTCTGTTGTGGAGCTGAGCCCAGGTTTGGAGGGTTGTGCACGGTCTCAAGCCTTGCAGGCTTGTCCTATCTCAGCTGCTGGGTCTGGAAGGAGTGGGAGAAATACAAGCCACCCCTAGACCTCTGGCTGCACTGACCATTTGGACCGAGGAGAGAAGAAGCCAGCTGAGGGCTCTGCTCGCGCCCCTCCCAGCCCAGCAGCTGGGTCCCTATGAAAGGGCTGGAGGAAGGAGAGCAGCCGTGCTGCAGTCGGGCTCCCAAAGCTCTGCCTGACACCTTGTACCCCTGCCCTGTGATGGGGGACGTGATCATGCCAGCTCTCCCTTGCTGAGCGATGGCTTGTATTCCTGAAGGGAGAGTAAGGAGAGGTAAGGAAAGAAAGACCCTCACTCGGACCATTCCTTCCTGCAGCAGGAGTTTGCTGCCTCCAGGAGCCACCTTGTCCTGGACAAGAGCTGTGGCCTCACCTCGGAGGGACTGGTGAACCTGAGGGCTCTGCAGCCCAAGAAACAAGGTCCAGCAAGCACCGGCTTGTTTTTAGAGCGTCACCAAGCCCTTTGCTCTGTCAAGCATCACCAAGTTCCTTTGCTCTGCTGCACTGGGTACAGGGGGTCGGCAGCGTTGCCGAGGGGCTCAAAACCACCCCTGTGCCACCCAGCAGCACACCAGCCCCTGGGGATGGGACAGGAGCTGGGAGGTGAGCCCAGCCCCACCAGTCACAGAGGGACACGTGCTGGGACAAGCAGGAGAAGCAGCGCCCATCTTGCCGGACGGCTGCTGCCAGGCTGAAGCCATGGCTCCAGGCTGCAAAGCTGCCTCCCTCTGTCCCCTGTCCCCTCTCCTGGCCCAGCCTCTGCCTCTCCCCCTCCCTGAGGGCAGCACGGGGCAAGGGAATTTTGCAGGCAATGAAACAGCAGTGAATTCCCCCCGCGCACCCCTCCAGCGCCAGCCCGCTCCCCTTGCTCGCCACGCTGCGAAGCCTCCTGTGCGCCGCCTGTCCTGGCAGGAGCTGAGCGGGTGGCACAGGGACACACTGGGCAGCCGGGCCAACAGCTGCCCTTTAAAGCACAGGGTGTTGTGGGGACCGCCAGCACGGCACGGAGACCCCCCACCG